ACCAATGTTGGAAATTGAGTAAAGCAAACTGAGGAATTTCAAAAGCTATGTTCTGAAAAGCTAGAAGAAAAATTATGCTTCAGGGACATAACAGAGTTTGCAGAAATCCCGGTCTCCATAGCCAGGAAATGCTTCCCAAAGAGCAAAATAATAATAAAAAAAAACAGGTAATAGACCGCGGTTTAACGATGAGTGTAAAAATGCTATCAGACTCAAAAAAGAGTGATAAGATATTTTAACAAAGACCCCATAAGAAATAAGTTGCTGAAGTTTAAACAACTTCGAGCAAAAGCTCGGAAAATAATCAAAGAGAACAAAGAGGATTGTGGGAAAATTTAGTCCAGCGATAAAAACAAAATCTGCATAGGATATGATAAAGAAGATAGCTACGATAAAACACCTTTCCATAAATAATATAGTAAAAATAACAAAGAGGATATCGCTGGCGAATTAGCAATAACCATCTCTAAAAACTTATCAGCTAAGAATGGTAGTCAACAATTTGTTAAGTTGAAACGAAAAGCTGATGAACAAAAAAATTTAATCCAATAATCCTGAGAGCTACAATCTTCCATTTACGATAGAGGAATTGAATAAATCGTTAAAGAAAGCCCATGATACAGCCGTGGGACGAGACGATATTCATTATTAATTCCTAAAACAGCTGCCAAACAAATCGTTGCAAGTGTTGCTAAAATCATTTAATAACATATCGACAATTAGCCACTTCCCAGATTAGTGAAGATAGTCTTTCATGATTCCTATTCCAAAACCTGGGAAGGATGACTCAGAACCTGAAAATTACAGGCCGATAGCGTTAACCAGTTGTCTGTGTAAAACTATGGAAAGAATGGTCAACAACAGATTGACTTGGTAGTTGGAAAAGAACGGTCTAATCAGTGATTACCGATGTGCGTCCAGGGAAAAAAAAAGAACTACCTTAGTTCAGTTAGTGCGGCTGGAGACTTTTGTCAAGGAAGTATTTCATCGGAAGGAACATCTCACGACAGTTTTTTTTTTCGACTTAGAAAAAAGCCTATAATACTACATGGAAGTTCGGCATATTAAAAGATCTACATGGACTGGACTTAAGAGGTGGACTGACACAATTCACAGGGAACCGGAATTTTCAAGTCTGAGTAGGAAGTACACTATCGAAAGTACAAGAACAAGAGGAAAGAGTTCCACAAGTAAGCATTCTATCAGTGGCGCCTTTTTGCGTTAAAGTCGACTCCATATTGAAATCCCTAAGCCCAAGTGTTAAATGCTCCCTCTATGTTGAAGATTTCTTATTTATGTATAAACCTCGACATATGAACAGAATGGAAAGGCAAATTTAGCAATGCTTAAATAAAATACAGAAATGGACCACGGAAAATTGGTTTACGTTTTCTAAAACAAAAAAATAAATGTATACATTTCTGTAAATTAAGAATATTACATAATGATCCATGTTTGAAATTAGATGAATCAGAAATTCCAGTAATGGAACAGCACACATTTCTAGGTGTAATTTTTGACAGGAAACTATCTTTCATCCCTCATCTGAAGTATTTGAAAGCGGAATGTAGCAACGTCCTACAACATCTGCGTGTAGTGGCTCGTACTGAATGAGGAGCAAACTATATAGATCGCTACTCCGTTCCAAACTGGATTATGCTAGTTTTATACATGAGGCAGTCAGAAAGTCGTACATGAATACCCTCAACGCAAGTTAACATCAAGGGCTCAGGGCCTTTAGAACATATCCGGTGGAGAAGCAGGGGAAAACCCCTCCAAATCTACGGCGTATTAAACTGGCATTGCAGTATTATGTAAAAATTTAATCGTGACCAAATGATCCAGCTTATAGAACTACATTTGACCCAAATTATTGTGATCAATTCCGTCAAGCAGAAAATGGCATACGACCATATGAACTTAGGATGAAATCCTTTGCTGAAGAATTAGATACTTCCTTATAAAATATGCAAGAAACAACGGTATCCAGTATTTCACCATCGAAGATTAAACATCCTGAAGCCGTTCTTGAAATGCATATTTTTCCCCAAGAAAAAAATCACACTCTGTCTGGAGAAATTCCAAAAAATACTAGAAATCTATGATTATAAAAACCATCTATACGGACGGATCAAAAAGTGTGGACAAAATAGGATGTGCAGCAGTAACCCCCAAAAAATTACCAAAAAGAAATGCCTTCCAAAGGGAAGTTCGATTTTCACTGCAGAGGCTTACGTAATTGAGTTAGCTCTAGACATCCTCACTGAGAACAAACTAAAGATCTTCCTAATCCTTTCAAACTCACTATCAGCTTTGGAGGCGAACAAATCCAACAATCCAATGATTATTAAAATATTACAGAAAATCAATACAATGAACAAAAAGAGAAATATAATGTATCCCTAGCTACATTGAAATAAAAGGTACCTCTATAGCTGACTTGGCAGTCAAATCAGCTTTGGATATGTATGCGAATACAGGGATCAAGGTCCCATATACA